TTTCTTTCTTTCTTCCTTTCTTTCTTTCTTTTTTTCCCTCATTTGTCTGTGTTTGACTTTTCTCTCTTTAACAATCTCCCATTGTTTAGTCTCTCTCCCTTGCACTCATTCACCTTTTATAGTGGCCTCAGTCGGAATTTCCTTTTCTTTGCCGCTCTATGTTAACACATCTATCTCTCGGATGTTTGTTGATCTCTTTCTTGCATATGTGTTTCTTTTTCCCTACCTCCCACATTGGGCCTTACTTAAGCTCTGCCATCAGATCAATGAAACCACTTAAAAAACGTCGAGTCTTAATGGTATGCGGTAATGAATCCAATATTCGTTCAATGCTGGGAAGGACAATGTAATGCTCTGCCACCATCCCAGCTCATCCCAACTTATTGTGGGCCGTTATTGCAGCGCAGAACCCCCTCACATCTATTTTATTGCTCAATGTTATTAATAATTAATTAATTATTGAAACACTTGTATGTTATTGGCATCAATAGAGGCTGTGTTTTGTAGATCGTTTCGAAATGGGTCGGTAACTTTTAAGAACCAATTAGGGTTAGGCTTCATCTTGTGAGCACCACTTGGCGAAATCCTAGTTTATTGATATTGCTACGGATCGTAGATTTTGTCATTGGGTTAAAAAGCTACTACTGCAGTATGACAACAGTCGACATTTTTAAATGCTGTAGTTCCGTTAGAAGCTCGAATAGTGAACATGCGGAGTTTACAACCAGAGATGTACAGTGCTTTCTTTACTGGCTTGAAATTGGTTTGTTTGCAGACTGATCAAGATGTTGAGTGCTTTGCAACAGGCAGAATGTTCATGGCACAGATATTTAACTGTTGTTTTTCTCACTGATTTGCATTTAGGTTTCAGATGGTGGGGATCTAAGTCTCTACACAGGCGAGTGCAGTTTATTTGCAGCAAATCAGCATGTGTGACACTATTTGCTGCAGTGTATATGATGTGTGACTGCGTGTTATGAAAGCCAATGTATTTCCACACGTGTACAACGCGTTAAACATATCAGAATTAAAGTAAAATTAGGAGACATTCCCATTAATTCTGAATATGATTTTTATACCATCACTAGTTGGTTAAAAGGTTATGTTTACTTAATAATAATAATCCTTGCATTTGATATAGCGTCTTCGAGATGTCTCAAAGAGCTTCATAGAATGTACTGTAAATTGAATTGACTGTATATTTTGTGGGCGATATTGAGCTAAACTTCAGGGGTGGAACAAAGGCATATCTATCAACGTAATCCTCTTTTTGTTCCCTGCTTTGCCTAAATGTTGTGCCTAATTTAGATGGGGTTTTGTCCAAAGTTTCTTGAATTCATTTAGCCTTCAAAGCAGCCAATTCTGTTTTGGTGAACATTCCTGCTTTTCTGTGGTTTATCCTCGGATATTTGCTAACTGTTTTCAGCTGAACACTGCATATTCCTGCTCATGTACGGGATGGGAATGTTTCCATTAGAAATATTCAAGAAAGATTTGAATAAAGATACCTTTGTGTTTTTGTTGACTTGGGAGTGGGGTGGTGGGGGAGAAAGAGAAAGAATTCCTTGATCTCCTGTGTTAGTTTGGCACATTCACAGTCCCAAGCTCCTTCTGTATTTCGTCAAAGGCTCTTAATCCTTCAACAAGAGACTTCAACAGTAGCCTGCACCAGTGTAACACCTATATTTCCCCTATTGACAGACGCTAATGGTCCCTCTGCGAGTGAATCGACCAATTCGTTTCAAACTACAGGTACTTGTGCCCCAGAATCAGATCTACTGGACCAAACCTTTTTGTTTAGTTCCTGAAAAACTATTTGTGGGACTCTGCTGTGCGAAATTGGCTGCCGCCTTTCGCCCACAAAATATACGGTCAATTCACTTTTACAGCATATTCTGTGAAGCACTTTGCGACATCTCGGAGACGCCAAATGCAAAGATTATTATTATAATTACTACTAAAGTCTCTCAGATGGAATAAAGGTGCAATAATATAAGTGAATTGCTGGTTCAGCTCCACTTCAAGCAGGGAGAAAAATAAAAAAAACCTTGCAAATCTATAGTTACTGTGACAGAATAGACAGCATGATATCACAACATAGAGGTGTTAAACTTGATGCTGATCTCTTTCACTATCAGAGCTATCAAAATCTTGCACGTTTCAGACATTACTTGGCAGTAACTACAGCCCATGGGAACTTCCATCTGCACAACAAATAGGTACTAAGACACACAGGAGCATCAGACTCATCAGCCCTTTCCCAGAACCGTTCTATCTTTGTGTTCCTCGAAGAGAACCATCACCTTAAAGTCAAAGGTCTGATAATTCCTGGAATGTGCACTTTACTGAAATCTTCTGTTGGAGCATTGGATTTCTGCCCTGAATGCTGAAGTCCTCGAACACACGCAGCTGTACAGACAGAAAGGTTCCCTGTTCAATCCCCATACCTTGAATTTCTGATCTTAATCAGAGCAGCACTGGTTTCAGTGCACAAACATTGCCAATATTCTCGGACGCGCGGTTTTAGCTGGTTAGACTCCAGCAGTTACCCCAACGCACACTCTGGGCTCCCCCCAAGCCTCGGCTCTCGTCAACCTGCGCCTAATACTTTCTGGAATTAGGTAAGCAGGGGGGCGTCCCTCCAGGCAGAGAGAGAGAGAGAGAGAGAGAGAGAGAGCGCATTCCATTCCAACAATCTCTCTCTGGGATTTCCACGTGTAGGTGGGATGCCTGGAAATCTCAGCTCGGTTTGGATACTCTTAAGCAACGGTGATGGGTTTCCGCGTGTGTCAGACACTTTGGAGAACATGTCGGGGTAGGAATGCAAACATTTTATTTCAAAGCTGGGACGCAAGACACTTTGCTGTTTATTAATAAACACAGGTTTCAATCAAATCGGTACACAAACTAAATATATACATTTCCACGTTAAAAAAAACAAATTTACAGAAAAAATACAAATCAAATTAAATAATACAAAAGCATTTTATGCCTTCAGATCCCCATGCCCCATCACTTTTCACATTATCTTACAGAAATGCTGTCCACATAATAGGGTCTAATATCAATACGGTAATTTCCAATGGGATTCCATCAATAAGGAAAACGGAAGTATGGCATATGGAGTAATGGTAACACTGCTCTGATGTGATCTACTCTTGTGATAATAATATTATTATTATTATTATGTTTGTAGTGGAGTACCTGCAAGGTGACATGATGTACATCCAGTTAAAAGGAGTCCTCACTTGGTTCCCTTATTGAGGAATCTGGGGACCCAAATTCCACCCAGTCTTAGCCTGTTAGATTACTTTGCCATAAAACATAATATAACGTGGTCAGAATTGTGCAGAGATTCTTGAATCCAATCTTAATTTTATTATTATTAGCAGTAGTAGTAATTTGGAAGCCAGTTTTCATGAGTTGAGATTGGCTTTCCAATCAAATAAATTTGGATTTGAGAATTTTCCAAATTTCCCTTTGGTCTTAAAATTTCAAGACCAAATGTTTTTATAGGTAAAATCTAAGTGGAATCTGGGGTCACTGATTGCAAATCATTGTCTGACTAAACTGTTAAATATCTTTGCATTTACACTTCAGTAAATGAAGTCGTAGAATAATATGAAGATGTTCAACGGATAGGCAAAATAAGCTAACCTTTCTCTCTAACCTTTAAGTTCTGATATAATGGGTTTGTAACTTGGTTACAATTGTCAGGTATTCAAAAGAAGCTGTAAATTGGACAAAAAAAATAAAAATTCTCACAGGCATACATGGAGCTTTTAATCTCTGAGATTATTCAGCCATCAAAATCTCCACTGTTAGAAATAAATCTGTGTGCATTTCTTTTTTTAAAAGAAAGACACAAAGGAAATAATATAATAATAATAATCCTTGCATTTGATACAGCACTTTATCACGTCTGTGAGACGTCTCAAAGCGCTTTGCAGAACATACTGTAAAATGATTGACTTGTACATTTCGTGGGTGAAACGGAAGGTAGTGAGCATTAATGTACGCCTTTTTTTCTGGTATTGTTTTTTCGCTCATGAGAAATTGTTAGATCTTCTGAAGGCTGCGGTAAATTACAGTGTAATAAAAATCCTTGCATTTGATATAGCGCCTTATCATATCTTCGAGACGTCTCACAGAATACGCCGCCAAGTGAATTGACCGTATATTTTGCGAGCGAAACTGCTTGCGTTGTATTATAATGAATTATTGTTTCCATGCACAAGTGCTTGTGCTCTTTTGAGATTACGTGCTGGCAATATTTGGTGCGATGACAGGTGTACCTTTCGAAACCTCCCACGTCAAGCCTGACCCTTTCACCGACATAATTTACTGCAATCCGACCCTCAGACACGCACTCAAGTGCAGCGTTCCCATTCTGCAGTCTAAAGGTAAGGTAAGGATGCAGGTTACTTGTAATGGCAGTTTCCTCATTGTGTTGGTTCTGGAAAGGTCGGTCTGTGACCAGCAACGATTACATTTAATCTTAGAGAAGCACAATAGCAATGGCATGTAGTGGAGTCATACTGCCATTCTCTCTAATTGATTGGGAGACAACACCACAGGTCAACAATACGAATATATACAAAATACACATCCCACAGCGCACTATTCAACAATCACGACATTACCGACTGCTCTCAGCATTTCTACGGCAAGAACAGCAACTAGGATTTGGATGTGGGTCTCACTCTCTGATTCCTCTTGTCCGGAGATCACCAGTTGTGAAGCAAAAAAAATGACCTTGCAGCACTTCAAACCGAATATAATTTACTTATTGATTTTGATAGGCTGGGTGGTTGACCCATCACTATGCTTAAGAGTGTCCAAACTCAACTAGACAGAGTTCCACATATCAATGGAAATTTCCCTATGTTTGGAATGGTGCACACTCTCTCCCTCCCACCCCCCCAGAGAGATGCGTCCTGCTTACCTAATTTCAGAAAGTATTAGGCACAAGTTGGCAAAAGCCAAGATATGGAGTCCCTAGAGTGTGTGTCGGGGTGTTAATAATAACAATAATTTTTGTGGAGTATTGCTGGAGTTAAACCAGCTTGCTGTTGTGAACATAGTCTGGAAAGTTTCCCTCCTCTACTCCAGCGGGCGGAGACCACCTTAGCCATTAGGGCTTTGGTTTGTGTGGTGAACAGAAGCTGAGTGGAAAGAACCACTGCAGTTATTGACTAATCTGCTCCTCCGAGTCTGGGTTATGAGCCAAGCTGGCTGGTCTGTCAATAGCAGAACCTTGGACTACAGTTCCTGGCTCAGGAACTGGGCTACTCAGAATACCGCAGAAGATTGACTCAACTCAGATATCCCGTGGTCAAGCACGTCACCTTGGAACCAGCTCAACCTCACAGAAACACTGCTTACCTCCCCTCCCCTCTACCCGCCAAGAAGGATCGGTTAAAAACTAACTAAACTAAACACCACGCACATCTGAACGTGTGGCTCAAAAGATTATTTTCCCCTTCAAATATATTTTAAAAAAACATTGTGGTGACATGCGTTGTGTTCATCAAGGCAAAGGTGTCCGTGCTGGTGAATGATGACTATTTTGCCACTTTTCTCACCGAATGTTTTCTAGGATAAATCTAGTTTTGTGGTCATGCAGGTTTTTTTCTCCCCGCCCCCCCCCCCTCCCTCTCTCCTTGTACAAACTTGTTCTGCCATTGTGGGTCTTTGCTCCCCTGATGATAGATTTGGGTGGAAGTTATTTTGACTTCAAAAGAGCACTGAATGAATAAAAAAAAAACAGAAACCATTGACCTCTTCCGAAAATGAACAGGAGGGTCGGGAGATCAATTGGTGGTATTTTCAAAAATGAGTTTCACTGAATCCATCGAAAATTAGGGCACATTAAACAACTTGCAAGGAAACATATAAAACAATTAGGGTTGGTGCTTTGGGAGTTGGCTAGTTGTAAGCAGCTGAATCTGATGAATGTGTTCTATAACAGTATGACAATGCGAGGTCCATAAATACAGCGTTGATAGAGAAATTGGTATTTTTTACATTGGGCTTACAATCCAATAAAATTCTATGAAACCATGAAACGTTTAAATAGTGACTTTCCCAACCCAACCGCAGCTAAGTGCCCAGAGTTCTTCTATACCCATGTCATTGCTTTGTTTCAATCTACGAGTACATTGATCTTGAAGACTTAATAAGAAAACGAGGCATGATTTTCAATAAAAACATCCAATGAGTCTTAAAATCCGGTGGGTTTCAAACATGGACTAACTGGAAATTAATTCAAGTGTAAGAGGGATGGCATTTAGATAAACTACGTACCTACTCTTAGCAATTACAAGACTTATTGCCTTTTTTTTGTTTGCAATGGCTTCCGGATCTCACTCGATAAAAGTTTCTTTGTCTTTTATCGAAGATCAAAGTTTCAGCAAAGAATGACGTTGGGGAGAGCCTTGTAAGAGCTTCTTTTCTTTTCTGAACGTGTTTTTTCCAGGAGTGACGTGTGCCGCTTTGTTACTGGATGCTGCGGGGAGATCGCACGTATTTGGAATGGTCTTTGTTCTTGTTCCTCCTGCCTCCTCCTCCTCCTCCTCCTCCTCCTAACATTCTCTTCCTCCCATTGGACTCCGCATTGCGGTGATTCTTGTTGAGCCTCAGTTTGTTCCGTTTCTTCTTTAAGTCTCTCTGCCACACCCTCTCGCAGTAGAAGTCCATCTTGGAAGGGTAGTTGATGAGAGCCATTATGTCTTTGTACCAGGGGTGAACGCCACGGGTGACATTCGGAAGGGAACGTTCTTTAATGGGACCACCCGCCCGGATATCCCCTTCGTACAAGTTCCCAAGTTGATTAGCGCTGACCACAAGTAGTTGCACTTTCACCAAAGTCCAACGGAAACCGTGGTCCTCGATTTCGCAGTGGTACACACCGGCATCTCGACGATCTATTTGCCGAATGAGCAAGCCTTGTTCTATAGGAATAATCTGATCCCCCAACGTAACCTGCAAGGTAAGATTCCATTGAACCGTATGAGCGTAAAATATTTTCTATACATATTAAAAAAAAACTTACTCCTCCAAGAGAAAAGGCTATTCTGGTGACTCGGGTCACTCCTTTCACTGTCCACATGCAATTATCCCATCATAAACTCCCCACCTTCCCCAACATAAGCTCCCTCCTAACTCGTTCATTTGATCTCCTAACCAAAAGGTTTCTCCTGAAACCCCAAAGGTAAATTAGGAGGACAGACAGTATATGTATCTATGTTCCTCCGCCCTTCAACTCTGTTCCAGCAACACGAATTATCATCCTCACTGAGTTTCGTTAAGAAACGTTCAGGAGTTATGGATGCAGTCAGTGCCTAGTAAATCAGCAGTCATGTGGCAACACCTTTTTTTTTGCACTTCTCTCTAATGAACTGGAGCAGAAGGAGTAAAATATGTACAACGTCAGTGTTGAAAACCGAGCCATTTTTGAAGAAATGCATCTTTGAAAAAAGACCTGCTTACCTCCTGAAGCCTCCCGTCATTCGACTCTAACAGCCACCTAACTGTCACATGCCGGGATTTGGGGAGGCATTCCAAATATGTGGCGTTTCCCTCGATGACAAATACCACCTTCTCCTCGGCCCCTGTATGCGTGACCCCTACAGGAAACGTGCAGAAAAGTGGGTTGATTCATTCTGAGGCCGGCGCCCACTAAATATGCAGTCAATTCACTTCACAGTATATTCCGTGAGGCGCTTCGAGACGTCTCGAAGACGTGATTAAGGGGCTGTATCAAAGGCGAGGATTATTATTATTATTCGATGCATCGCTAAAAACTTCAATTGCCAACACTCTTGGCTCAGAAATGGCTCACAACCTCAGCTGACGTTCCAGTGCAAGATTATTGAAGAGTACGTCACGAGCAAACACAAATTTTGGGTTGGAAATTCAGGGGTAACTTGGGAGTAGCATTTTGCAAAGTGCCTCTCCTTTGACATTACTAAGTTCTGCCGTGAATCGAGACATTCAACGGCAACAAACAACAAATTACATTTGTACAGCGCCTTTCATGTCAGGAGGACGTCCCAAGGCGCTAACGTGTGGCCGATGGAAACAATTGATGAACGTGTGCAACTTGTGTCATGGTGGGAAGAGGTTCCGAGTGGAATATTCTGATCCAGTCAACCCAACTTGAAACCGTAAACCTTTCACTCGGACTGGAACATTGACCCCAAGCTTTGAATCCAGAGGTCACCAGCCTGACCCGAAACAGATATCATGGAGAGGTTATGATTCCGAAATGTATTGTTTTCATTACCTTGGATAAACATTTCTTAAAAGTGTATGGGTCAATGCACAGACAGGGATCAGATGCTCTGCTTTCCAACTGTTGCTTGGGAATGGGGTTCGATTAGCTCAGACTCCCTGTGACCAAGTATTAACTCCACCCGTGCCAGTCCCGTTACTCTAGTTACATAACAAGTGAAAAGTTGACAGCAGAGTTGGCTGCACAATGAGCAGATTCACTATGTAGTCTGATGTGATCATTGCACAGAGTGGAGCCCTGTAGCTCAGTGGTTAGAGCGCTCGCCTCGCAATCGAGAGGACCCGGGTTCGATTCCCGGGCAGGACAGGGGGCGAAACGCTGGGCAAGTTTCCTTACTCCGCACACACTCCACTGTTTACCAGCAGTAAGTGGGGACCCGGTTGATGGTTGATTGGCGGATCGTTTTTATGGGATTAATAATCCCATCAAAATTAAAAAAAAACGCGCGGTCACTTAACCCACGACTGTTTGTGGGGACAGACGCTGCTGTGCGCAATCGGCTGCCGCGTTTCGCCGACAAAATATACAGTCAATTCACTTTACAGTATATCCTGTGAAGCGCTTTGAGACGTCTCGAAAACACAATAAGGCGCCATATCAAATGCAAGGATTATTATTATTATTATATCACCTCCAACACCGCTGGATATTCAAGGTGACTTAGAAGCTAGAGTGCTACAAGTGAGCAAGCACACAGACTCTGCCATTGACGCTCCCCACCAAGGCTCACACAGGAATGGGGGACATTTGACGAGGTTGCTGGGGAAGGCAACCTGTGGAACCGAAACCCGAGCAAAAGGAGTCCGGGAAACCAGGACCACAGAGGCATAAAGCGACTGGGGAATTAGAAAATTAGAAAAATAATTGGACGCACTAAATTCTTTTAAAAGCCTCCCAGATAGTTTTTACCACCCAAAAAAGTTGCATTTGTCCTTTGTGCCGTTTCCCTTTTGTTAACTAACGTTTCCTAAATGAATCGTCCTGTCTTTATCCAAATATTTCACAGACCCTTTCACCTTTAAATTGCCTTTTACATTGACTGCATGTTGATGTTGGCAGCGGGGCAAGCCCTGAAAACTGAGCTCATTTCGTCTTCTGGGGCTTCAGGGAGGGAAGCAATGTAGGAAAATTACCCGATTATTTGTTGATAACGCTTCCAAGAATTCTAAATAAACCTCAAAGAATTCGAAAGGCTTCTCTCTTTCTCTGCCGAGAGATCAATGATTTTGTCTCACGAAACAGTCACGTGACACTTACCTCCCTGGTCGAAGCACTGGGTCAAAGGGTCTCCATTCCGACTGACCTCTCGAGCGTGTCTTCTGCAAGCAAACAAAACAGTAAGGGGTCAGGTTCAACAGCAGCCCATTGAAGTCCCAATCCAAAGCATTCCCTTTCATGCTGTGTTTGATTTGAAAGGAATCCAGAAGCAAAGTCCAGGTGGCTTATGCAGATGACCTTATTACGTTGGGTTTTTTTTTTTGACAAGGGTTTCAGAACTTTTGAACGTTTATTAATCATTTATTTAAGAGTTGTCTTTTCTGCAGTTAGATGGAGGGACTATTGTGTTTAATCAAGTGATCCAGCCAACTTATATACCATATTAGAGTCTGGAATTTGGTACTTGTAGAAAACCGGCTAGTTGGAGCTTGACAGGTACAAGTGAGGAGAGATTAGAGGAGCAGTGCTCACAAATACAACTACACTGTAGTAATAATAATAATCCCGGCATTTGATACAGCGCCTTATCACGTCTTCGAGATGTCTCAAAGCGCTTCGCAGAATATACCGTAAAGTGAATTGACTGTATTTTGACGAAACGCAGCAGCCGATTGCACACGGTCCTTTGGGTGAAGAACTGCCTCCTGATTTTGTTCCTAAATGGCCCTAGCTCTAATTTTTGATTATTGGCTTACCTATGAGTAGTTTGCACGTATCTGCTGCAGGACTTCCCATTCCAGGTGCAGTAGGGATCCCTGGCAAGGCAGCACTCAGCGCAACCTTTACCGTACAGGTCACACTGGTAGAACGAGACCTGCGCCAAGCCACTCTTAGAGCCAAGGTAGAGCCAGTGCTGGAACACAATGTTAAGGGACTGGTCATTGTCAGTGATTGAAGCTCCCCCCCCCCCCGTCCCCACCGCCTCTCAAACATGTTGTACTGGATATCTGAAGTATCCATCGGATTGACCGCACTTCCAGGTCAATCGGGTCAATTATTGCTTCAAAGTATGGGTGATCCAACTGGCGGCCCAGGGGCCGCATCCGGACCACCAGGCGGTTACTTCGCCCCACCCCAATTATGTTGGCCCACCCGCTCCCTCCATAACCCGTAAATGTTAAGTTTCTGGCAGGGAAACACAAAAATATTGCTTATGTTTCTCAGATAGGGCAGCTGGCCCTCAGCAGGCCAATAGTGTTGGACCACCCTGGTGTAAGTGAAGGGTCTGGGGATCAACGGACAATTGAGGAACTGTTGTCTTCAAAATTGAGCTGTTTCCCTGATGTCACTGCCTGATGCTGGGGAATGGTTCCGTGGACACAGGCCAGCCTCGAGGGGGTCTCATTCTGCGAGTCAGAAAGTAACACCCTCTGACCTCACTCACAGAAGCCCAACATTATTTAACTCACAAACAGTGAAATCTGTTTTTCAGTATGTGCCACTTTCCAGGATGTATAACTTCCTATTTCGGTAATTACAGAATCATCAATGCAATACAAAATTACATTTGTACGGCACCTTTCACGTGGGGAGGATGTCCCAAGGCGCTGGACAGTCAGGGATTTGGACCCGAGCAGGGAGTTGGGATCAGGGAGGGTGGAGGGTAGGAGAGTGGCCAAAGGTGCAATCAAAGAGGAATCAGGATATAAGAATTTGCTAGGCGGAAGAAGACCAAGGTCCATCCAGTTCACCTCCCGCCATCCTGGCAGTTGCGCTCACGTGTCGAGTTTCAAACTACATACTGTATCCCGAGATATTATTTCCTAACAGAAATCGATCTAATTTGTTCTTGAAAGAATCGTCAATGGTGCATCAAACATAAAGGAAGTGGTCTTACCCGCTTTCTGGATAGGTTCATTGAAGTAATGGGGGATTTGTCCTGAGAAGGAAATAAATGCATTAAGGACATTTTCAAAACGTCACGGAAAATATGATTTTACATTTTTCCGTTCGCTTTTTATCGACGGCGGAAAAAAAAGGAACGATCACTAAATTACATGGAATACAGCGCGCAGAAATGTACAGTTTATCTTTAAGCATTGCCTCCCGTACAATGAATCAAGTTTTACTTCCACCAAGTTTAATCACGTGAGTGGGAAATAAAACAAGGACTAACTGGGTCATATAGCATATGTTAAATACAGATCAAAACTCCCTCCGTCCTGCCCTAACGATGGGGTTGAAATTCTGGTTAACAAACTGTATTGAAGCAAAGGTGTGTGGACAGTGATGTGTGCATTTTTATCTGCCAGAACGTTAATGGTACAATGTCAAACTCCGCCACTATCAAGCGCTCTGGGACACTAGCCTGCGAGAAGGGCGGTATAGAAATGAAAGTCGTTGTTTTAAGAACAAGTCTGACCCAAAACATCTCAAAACAATTGGCAGGAGACAGCTGCGTTAGTGCCAACTTTAGGGTAGTTTTCGGCTTGTGGCGGAGCAGATAGCTCTAAACTGCCCATCAGAAATATTTGCTCCAAGTATTGCAACAATGGTTCTGAACCCCAAAATGGTTTTGCATTATATTTTTAATTCCCCCCTCTCCCAGATTCCTTCATCCCACACCCACCCACATACACACACAATTATTTTGATCTTTTTTTCTCTTGTGTGTTGACCGAGGCCAACAGTAACACACTTCTCACTGTTCCATCTGAGAATAGGTAACTCAACACGCACTGTGTAATTTTAGCCCGGGATCATACAATAGCTTGAGTATTACCAACACAGCCCTGGTAATCCTGTAATTTAAACAATTTAATTAAACGACAAGTAGGATTATTGGAAGAATCCCATTGTCTGAGAATGTCTGGCTTTAGCCAGTTTTAGGAAATGTAATATTCTTGAATCAGAACTGTTGATGCAAAGTCTGGAGAAAGATCACACACGCGCACACACGCACAGGCGAAACTGCAACGAAACTGCATTGAAACAACAAAAAAAGGATTTTAATAAAAACACACCCCGCATCTAATCTACTGGCAATATTGAAATTCAAATCTGTGCATTCATGTAGGGATTTAGCACAGCAGGGTCCAGTTTGGATTTCCGATTTATCTGATGCCAAAATAGACTGGTGGCTAAAATCCACAACAAATGCGCTCTCACTCATCAGTCCTCTACTGAGCCCTGATAAATGCAGAAACCTGTACTTATTGGCAACACACACGGACCAGGAATTCTTTGGACTTTGTGCAAAAACAGCTTCTTTGAAACTAGCTTATTATTCAACGCCATGAATCTTAAATTACATTCTCGCCTCAGAACCTGGCTAGTTGAGGGTAGTATTCCGTTAGCTCTTACCAGGGTCTGGTACTTTAATATGGTCGATAATACAATACTGCCATTAACATTCCCCCCTCAATCCGTGTAATTTTCAATAGGAGTTAATAGGAAGGAACTTGACATCTTGAGAAAAATATGCCGTTAGATCAGTGGTGACCAACCTATGGGTTGTCAAGATGTGGCCCGACAAACATTTACACTAGTCTAGGTATGATAATAAACAATAATAAATAACAACAATAATCCTTGCATTTGATACAGCGCCTTATCACGTCTTCGAGACGTCGCAAAGCGTTACACAGAATACACCTTAAAGTGAGTTGACTGCATATTTTGTGGGCAAACGTCTGGGTTAAATCAATATTTTGTTTCCAGTAGCTACTGAGTGGCAATATTCCTGGTGCGGCCGTAAATCAAGAAGTATTCAATGAAGAAAAGATGTATTTGGTTAGCCGACCAAACAGGTTGGCCACTATTGCTTCAGATGGAACAAGAGCTACAGATGTCATCTCTACATTTAGAGAAATATTTTGTCATATAATTTAAGAAATTACCACATACCTGGAATATTTCCAGCTCTTCGAGAATAATCTGTTCCACTTGTTGGTTCGGTTTAGAAACATAGATAGATTTCAGGACCACCCCAGTGTCTGCACGGAAATAATAACAGGATTATCGGCTGTTGTTTTCTAAAGCGGGATCTTCATGTTTTCATTGCCTCTGTAATCAGTGAGCGAAGAGCAGACATTCTAGTCTAGTAACATCAACAAGACCTTCTACTCCGTGCGCTTTGATCATTGCCCAAAGCAAGCACACAATCCCTCTTCGCAATGATTAAACTATTCTCGCTGAGTAGCCAAGACTGAAGTGGCACTTTCTAGTGAGGTGCAATTGAAGACAGCAAAAATAGATTCTAAACGGTTGATGTTTTCCCCCAAAGAACGACAAGAAAATAATGCTGGAATCTTTCAGGTCTTATTACCTGAAGGGGTCAGCAATACCCCAGGTCCTGAGATAAAATATTCAGACCAACACGAAATGATTTTGTTGTTGCACCCAATTCCTGACATCGGACCTCGCTGGAATGCTTCCAGTTTCTCCAGTGGCATCAAGTGATAAAGACAGCCAAACACAGCAATAAAATGCGAACGTTTATAAACTATTCTGGATAGTTTAATAATAATAATCTTCGCATTTGATTCACAAGGCCTTCGAGTTGAGTCGTCTCAAAGCGCTTTACAGGATGCGCTGTAAAGTGGAGAGACTGTGTATTTTTATGGGCGAAACCCACACCCGGTTTGTCCGCAGCAATGCCCCACAAACAGCCATGGAGTGAGTGACCGATGTTATTTGAGGGGGTGGAGTGGGGGGTGGGGGGGGTGGATTTATTGGCTAGGACACCAGGAGAGAAAAACTCTATTCGCTTTTCAAATAGCCCCGGGTATCTTGAACGTCCACCTGAACTGTCAGACAGGAGCTCGGTTTAACTTCTCATCCGAAGGACGGCACCTCCGACAGTGCAATCCCCCACCGCCCCCCCCAGCGCTGCAATGGAGTGTCAGCTGAGACAACATGACGCCAAGTCCCGATGTTGGACTTGAACCCACAATCTTCTGACTCAAGAGGCGAGAGCGCTGCCACTGAGCCAAGCACACATTTCGTGATAATCCTGACCGTTACGTAACAACAGAATCCGAGGTGTGGTTATATTCTCCGCCGATTGCCACACTCAGCCACCCACAGCAATGTATTCCTTTTTGAATCTGTAGCTCCCCATTAACCGAAGCTGATTGTCGCACATATTGCCTACCTGTTCCTACGAACATCACGTCATATTGTCCGTCCACTGCCTCAGCTCGATCCACGACGATCCGGGTGAACTTGTAGTCCACGCCGACTCTTACCAGCACCGGCTGCTGATTGATGGGGTAGACGGAGTGGTGCATCAGGGGGTGCGTGCGAATAAAGAAAATTGCCTCGTCTGGGTATTGCCGTGTGGACCTGTAATTCCCGTAGGTGCTGCTTGGACACTGGAGGAGAGAACCACACATGGTCTACGTCACACCTTCTGTCCGCAAATGCCTTTTGCCGCTGTGCCCAACTGGCTGCCGCGTTTCGCCCACAAAAACACACAGTCAATCCACTGTGCAATATATCCTGTGAAGCGCTTTGAGACGTCTCAATGACGTGATAAGGCGTTATATCAAATGCAAGGATTATTACTATTGATATTATTATTATAATAATAACGATAAGCCTTGCATTTGATATAGCGGCTTATCAAGTCTTCGAGACGTCTCAAAGCGCTTCAAAGGGTTGCTATCTGAGCTCTCGGACGTAATGCAGAAAATACCCGGATAAAGTGGTAAGTAACACTGAACGTTACAGGTCTTCTTCAAACAGTAAAGCCTGGGATAAAATGAAATTAAAATATAAAAGTTTTTTTTTTAGTAAACGAGGAAGAAGAGCGAGCTGACGGTTAAAGCGGTTGAACAGTGCAAATGATTTTAAAAAACATACTTAGAAGTACGGAGGGGAGAATTGGGTAAAAAAATGAGAAACTTAAGAGAATAAGGAAAGACTTCACCGTTCAAATACAATATGTCTCTACACCACACAAATGGGGAAATGAGTCCCAGATTGTGTTTATTCCGAACGCAAACAGGTTGAGCAGTTTTAACTATTGCTCAAAGACGCACGCACAAAAAAAGAACACAAAGAAAGGGCTCAAAACTGTTTGCAGCTGCAACAGCTAATGTGTCTACAGAAGGCCAACCACACCCATGGAATCGTCTGATCAGTACGCAGTGTGGGGTTCCTATGGGGAAGAGGTGAAGACGATAAGTATTGAGACACAAGACAAGATAAGAGAAACAAATGATGACTCCCGATGTGAAGAGAGACAAACAGTCGGATACAATCTGCTGAGATCACAAGTGGAGGAAGTGGTTTTGCAGACAGCAGCCAGAAAAGTCATTAAACCAAATAGCAATAAAGTGTTGTGCGTGCAGTGCAAATTGTGCAGAAGATAACGCGAAATAAGATTTGGATGATATCAACAATAAATGGCCTGAACGTATGGGGGCTGGTGAGCAGTTTCAGAGAAAAGGCTGCAAATCTGGATTGCTTCCCTCTACTATCTGGGAGCGTGGAAAGAATGAGCAGGATAATTAACTTCAATGACCGGTTAGGAAAACCAGGTGGATGCGAGGAAGCTGAGTCTGTAGATTCGACTCGGAGGGGAATTTTTTTTTATGGACAGAATGATTTACACTGAACCCTGTCATGCAACGTGAAGAGAGACAAATGATGGGAGACAAGGAGTAGGCTTGATGCACTGAATGCCCTCATCTCGTTCCATTTATTCCTCATTCCCTTACTATGCTCCAGAACCGAAATACTCCCTAAGCCACAGCTGCGCCCTACCCATTGTAATATTGAATTACAGTTATAAATCCAAGAGACGCAGCACTTGCACTGCCAGTCAATAGTGCGCTATTCACTCGCACAACACTGGGCTTTGTCCTCTGTCTGAGGACGCACACAAAGACAACGCAGGGTCCACTTACCGTTCCAGGGCGAGGGAAAGGTACACGTCCAGGGTACGGCACCCACTTGTAGTCCGGCCCCTCTTTGTGCGAAAACTGCCCCTTGAAAGCCATCACTATGTCTTCCATCTGGTAGACGCACACGGCGGAGCCATTGAGAATATTGCTGTAAAATAGTAAAACGGCGAAGAGGTGGGTGGGGGGAAAAATAGCGTTGAATTATTTCTCAGAACGTTTAATCGACTTTATGTCTGTTTCGTCTGATTTTAACAAGCTGTTCCTCATCCCCTACCCCTGCCTGCCCTCCACACCCACCCACGCCCCCTCCTGATCCCAACCCCCTTGCTCAGGTCCAAATCCCTAGACTGTCCAGCGACTTGGGACATCCTCCCGGCCTGAAAGGTAATCCTTCTGTCATTTGCTGATGTTCCTGAACCTTATCTGGTGATCCCCATTTGACTTATACAGATGGCAGGTGGATAAGATCATGGCTTGGCTGTAATAGATAATAATAATAATAATATAATACAATAATAATCCTTCTGTTTGATGTCGCACCTTATCACGTCTTTGAGACGCCTCAAATCTCAAATCATAGATCCTATGGTTAAATCACTCCCACACAAAGATTTACGACTCTTAACGACATCCTAATTGAGACTGGCTATCTCACCGGCGTTTACCGCACCTCGGTAGCACAAGACACCGTCTTGCTGAGTCCTTGGGCCACCCCGAAGAAGATATTTACTCAAGGCGAGGCTATTTTATTTCAAATGGTGATAAAAACAGCCACAAGCCGGAAAGAATTCAAAGTATTTTATCAGCAAAGGCAGCAGGTTTCGAAAAGAAAACATTCCTGGAATATAAATAGCCTGGGGACGTTACGCTGCACTATTTAAAACATTAATGATCATGGGTGATTGACATCAATTAAAAGACGGAGATGGAAGTTCTGATAGCTTTGAAACTCACAGTGTAGGTATCCTGCTAAAGGTGGAGGGTTCAACTCCCCCCTTCCCCCGACCCCCCCCACCCCCCCCCAACCCAATTATTTTCACTGCTAATCTGTGCAAATTCATTTAAGGACCATTAAAAGTCGGTTAAAGGTTACTCAGGAAGTAAAAACCCGGGTATTTTCGGAAGCGTTCAGGTTTAGGGCATTCTTTTCTTTCAAAACGTTTGAAAAAATCGAGCTGGGGAACGATAAGGTCCAGGATTGTAACACGAAGAAAGTAGGTGAAAATCAGGAGTTAATCTGAAACACTCCTTTAACCCACGTATCCCGATACTGGTTTACCTACACTGCCCGCTCCCAGCAAAGCAACCAAAGGGTTAGTCCCCACACGCGCGTGAGGAAAACTGGTGAGAAACAAAGCCATCGTTTCGTGAACCAACATTCCAAGCGCTAGCGTGGACGAGCGGGCCACATGAATGCAAGTTGTTGTTGTTGTTGCTGTTCTTGCAGCGAGGTGAGTTCCTACGCACAGTCACGCACGTTCGTCTAAACGAAACAGACGCACTTGGAGTTCAAAAGTGAAATTGACCGAACATGCTACGTATTTGTCAGTGCTCCTTAAAAAGTATTTCACTCGAGTCTCCGCTGAGGAACGTGTAATAGAATAAGTACTCCTAAGTTTCCTAAATTGTTCCTCCAGCTACGCCCGCCGTATGAGTCAGGATCCAGGGAGAGCCGGATTTCTCTGGAAACACTGCCAACCAGACTTTGCTATCAAGCCATCACAGGCTTTGAAGAAAAGGCTTTGTAGTTTTCTAATTGTGTGCCGCCTGTACAAGGGGGCGCTTGTGGATTCTCAGATAAGGAACACTGGGCTGCGGACAGCTTTTGTTCATGTCAATTAACATGACGTTCTGGGTGGGATTCTTGAGGATGTTACATCAGTTATGGGATAAGAAAGTTTCAATGTCAGTCCTCCCGCCAGCTATATCTTGGCAGAATAGCAGGTACTCACACTGACAGGTGAGTAATGATCCGATCTCAATTAGCCACAACCCAAGTCGCTGCCTTCTGGATTAACCCCCATACTCTCTTTCTGCAGGAGGTGGGACAGAGAGAAGATTGGCCCAACTGGTTGAGTCGGTGGACAAAGACCCGAATGAGCTGAGCTGCATGCAGAACTCGTTAGATAAAAAATAATTAATAATAATTTGGTGACTTCAATCCATGACTGTTTGTGGGACGCCGCTGTGCGCAATTGGCTGCCGCGTTTCGCCCAACAAAATATACAGTCACTACGCTTTGCAGTGTATCCTGTGAAGCGCTTTGAAAGTCACGAAGACGTGACAAGGCACTGTATCAAATGCAAGGATTATTATTATCAGTAGAAAATTCACGACTGAGTTTCAACTTAATTTCTCTCACTAATTTTCTCCCTTCGCCTACCGTTGCTGACAGACCAGGCAGCCTGACTCGGAGAGGCAGAAACAGTCACTGGGATTCCTCCCACTCACTTCCAGTTAATCCTGCAAGTCAAAGTCCTTATGGATAAATATGGCCCCAGGTGGACGAAAAGTGGGAAGCTCCCGGACAGTGTTGGCAATGGCAAGTCGTGTGTTTTCAGGACCTTAAACTTCAACCATATCCCCAACGCACACTTTGAGGTCACCCAAGCCTTGGCTCTTACCGACCTCCACCTAATACTTTGCGGTATTAGATAAGCAGGTCGTGTCTCTCACTGGGTACGTCTCCAGACAAATGGGAAATTTTTCTATTCGTATGTGAAACGCTCAGTGTATGTTTGGATACTCTTAAGCATGATGACCAAACAAATCTTAAATTCAAAGACAAAATGGTCTCGCAGGCACAGACGAGGTGGATTTCGGGCCTCGGTTGCCTTGGATACCCTATCGTAACACAACAACCTGATTCTGCTGTGCAGGCATTGGAGTCTCAAAATTAAGTGACATTGAGTATTTGGCTTGAAGTGGATCCCTTGTGAAACGCTGTTAATTAGATTCTATCGTACAGTTTACGGATGACAGTATTTGACAAGTCACTGATGGAACCTTTCTCCAGGGCTGCAGTGCAGCTGCTGCCGGGCTCCAGTTTCTCCTCATTACTATTTGACCTCCTCACCTGGATGTGGTGAAAACTCCAAAGATTCGTGGATTCTTCTCGTCTCTTCCACGGAGCACAAAGATATCCTCTGCACCAAAGAAAGAGAGGAGCGAAAGAGAGAAAGAAAGAGTGTCAACTGCAGTGTAAACATCAACGGGAAAATATTTATGTTGATCCTTGAACCAAGTTTTATAAAGCATCTAGAATAATAATAATAATAATCCTCGCATTTGATACAACGCCTTATCACGTCTTCGAGACGTCTCAAATCGCTTCACAGGATATATCGGAACGGAATTGACTATGTTTTGTGGGCGAAACGCGGCAGCCAATTACGTACAGCAGCACAGTCTGGATTGAGTGACCGAATTATTATTATTATTTATTTTTGATCCAAGTGAGTCCAGCTAAGTGGTTCCTTTCTCACCGTTGAAGTCACTGAAACTATCGGCTGGAGGAAGAAGCCCGTTGGTCCGATAAATCAGGCTGATACTCACGCAGTTCATCAAAATGTGTTTGAATGCCCTCCGAGCTTTGAATGGAACAAACAAGACGTGCCTTCAGGAAGGTGCTCCATTTGTTAACGAGACTTCGCTGACCACCAATATCATTCTTCGGAGTGGAGGGGGGGGGGGAAAAAATAAAGGGGCCGTGAGTGTAACATCCACGGGCTATGTTATCACGCGATCGCCTACTGCAATTGATTCCCTCCCACAAGCTCAAAACTCAACGACACCGATGCTAAAGAGTCGGAAACTCAGCTGCTCACCTACCTTGCAAACCCGAGCCACTCGCGAGTAAATCACCTTCCCATTCCCACCGTCTGCCTCTTGTGCACGCTCAGTGAAGAACAGATACACCTTGTCGTCCTCCTCATTGTTGCTCTCCGCGTTTGCGTGAACCTTCACAAACCTCGGGTCTGAAACGAGAAGTGGGGGGGAGATCAGTCGGAAGCCGTTGATTGGGAACATGCGGTTACTCAGTGGCTAACGTTGGAATGAAGGGCACACACAAGGAACGATAGCGCCCGTCCCCAGTGAGTGAGTAAACTTTTTTTAACATCTTGTTATATTTTGCAAAGTGTCCACAACATTATTAAGCATTTAGTAATCCTCCAGTGACACACACCAGCTCCTGAGTCCAATGATACGGTGAGTGATAAAAGTATAATAAAGTAAAAAAAAAAAATTTTTTTTTAAAAAAATATTTGCGGACTTAATCCACGACTGTTTGTGGGACACTGCTGTGCGTAATTTTCTCCCGTAAAATATACAGTCAATTCACTTTACAGTATATATTCTTTGAAGCGCTTTGAGACGTCTCGAAGACGCGATAAGGCCTATATCAAATCCAAGGATTCGTATTATTGTTAGTATTATATTTTGCACCCTAATAATGAGTTAACATTATATGTTTATATATTTTGTTGACGTCTTTAATGTCTCTCAAGATGCAGGATGGCAGTGATGGGAAATAAAATTGTTTTCCATTTGTTGGCGCTATAAGACCCAGCTCAAAAGATTCCCAGATGATGCACTTCACACATTAAATACAAACAAAAGCTTGTTCTGCCCCATAATCATACCTTAATCCCAATTTAATGAGAACCACCCCTTCAATACACCAGTGTGACATCTCTCATTCCCTGAAACAGTCATCTTTATGGCCACCTTGAGTCAGATTTCCAATTTAATGCCTAATTAGCGGTGGTTTTGTTCTGTTTATTTTTGCTGACTCGAAATTGGGTTGAAAGAACCCAATTCATTTCACTTATCGCTCTTGCAGCAAGGGAACAGATTTCCAGCGCATCATCTGGTTTGATTTCTAAGGCAAAGGAAGACATTAAATTCAGTCCCTTATCTACGCTGACTTAACCCACAATGAGGGCAGGCATTACACTCAAACACCTCTATGCTGAGGAGACAAAATAGGAGAGCGTTTCAATAACTATCCAGGGAACGCTGGTGTGTATATGTGCTTATAATAATAATAATAATAATAATCCTTGCATTTGATATAGCGCTTTTCACGTCAGGAGGACGTCCCAAAGCGCTTCACAGAACACACTGTAAAGTGAATTGACTGTATATTTGTGGGCGAACGCGGCAGCCAATTGCGCACAGCAATGTCCCACAAACAGTCGTAGATTGAAAATGACCAATTTAATTATTGTTTTGGGTTTTTTGGAGGGATTATTATTAGGCGTGTGGAGTAAGGAAACTTGCCCAAGGTTTCGCCCTGACTGGAATTGAACTCAGATCTCTCACTTGCAAAGCGAGTGCTCTAACCACTGAGCTACAGGACTCCACAATTGCTTGAATGTCGAGTGAGCATAAGATCAGGTTTCAATGCCCTGGTTGCCATTGTTAATTTGCCCCCACCACCCCCTGATCAGGTGAAAAATGATCGATTTTAGCTTAGTTCAAGTTTGGTTTTAATGTTTCTCTAAATAGTCACTCAAGGTCAGGACGTTTGCTCAGATGATACAAAAAGCTCAGCCGGGGTTAGGTGTGGGGGGAGGAGGGAAGTGACTGTAAGCACTGGTCGAAGAGGAAGGAAGGAAGGAAGGAAGGAAGGAAGGAAGGGGGCAAGGCAGAGGGATAGAGGAACGGTAAACCTAAGCTCACCTTGAAGCCACTTGGAGTCGTACTGCTCAGTGCGGATCACATGGCGACGTCCCAGACTGCGAAAGAATGCCACGTCCCGACTCATGAAGTCTGAGGATATTCCAGCGTACAGCTCTCCGTCTGTAAGTAAAACCGTGAGTGTGTGATTAGCGTACAGATTAGTACAGGTATAACGATTTGTAATAGTATCTCCTTACAAGTACAGAGGCTCTGACGGCAAAGCAATACACAACCGGTAAATACATTTAAGGCAAAAGAAACTGCAGATGCTGGAAATTTGAGCTAAAAGCAGAAGTGACTGGGAACACTCAGCAGGTCAGGTCAGGCAGCATCTATGGAGGGAGGAGAGTGAGTTAAAGTTTCAAGTCGATGACCTTTCATCTGAGACTGAATTTAACAGCCAGACAATGTCAAACGTGCGTTTGAAAAGTCTGAAAAGTGAAGGAGGGAGGAAGAGAGTCACAGAATGAAAAGAATCCACAGAAAACCATGCTGTGAGACCTGATATTGACCTGATGTTATCTCAGGGAGGAGGAGGAGGAGGAGGAGGGGAACTGTGTGCATGACAGGTTCGTTCAAACTTGCATGGAAACTTCACAGCAATGTCCTTGTAATATTTGATGTATTTGGCTCCACGGGTGGACCTGAGTCAAAGAGGGAGGTACAAGTGAAAGGGTAGCTAGACCCAGTTTTCTGCATGGCGTTTGGAGGAAGCCAAGTGTGCAATAAAAATGGCACAATCGGTAACTAAGAAACACCAGACTCTTCAACATATGGGTTCATTGTAGACTTGTGGGAAACACATGTTGCTATAAAACACTCTCCCACTACTTCTCCCTCCTAACCAAGTCTCTAATCTAACCTGTGGTCGGATTAATCTCTACCAAATGCCAGCCAAGCTCGGTATTTAGCATTCCGCGGGTCCCCACTTCTGGCCTAGGCCGTCATCGGCCAAATTGTTTGTTAAACATTAAACAAAAGAGAGAGAGAGAGAGAGAGAGAGTGAGAGGTTAAAGGAAAATAAAAACAGATGATAACTGAATGAGAATCCAGTGTGGCTCATTCTCATGTTGGTGAGAACAGAATCCAAGATGACTCTTCGTGTGGAACAATAGGAATCCAGAGATGCAGTTCATTTCTGACATGTGTCGGGGAGTCCTGTAGCATATTGGTTAGAGCACTCGCCTCGCAAGCGAGATGACCTGCATTCGATTCCCAGGCCGGGCAAAACCTTAGACAGGTCTCCTTACTCCACACGCCTCTGTTTACCTAGCAGTGAATAGGAACCAGGTGGTTAATCGATTGGCGGATCGGTTTGTGTGGGCAATAATCCCTCCAAAACTAATATAACTTTGGTCACTCAGTCCAGAACTAATCGTGGCCTACCACTGTGCGCAATTAGCTGCCATGTTTCACCCATAAAATATACCGTCACTACACATTGCAGTATATTCTGTGAAGCCCTTTGAGACGTCTCAACGATGTGATAAGGCTAAGGCGCTATATCAGATGCAAGGATTACTACTATTATTATTATTACTATTATTATATCAAGTGATTTCCCCCTGGGGAGCTGTCTTGAAAAACTGTAAAGCACCTGTGAGGATTAAATGTCAATGTGTACAATAACTGGGCCTTTGAAGATGGTGAGCGAGTTGAAGGTTCCTGCCTTCAGGACTTGAAAATCTCTTAATAGGTTCACCATCTGATAGGGGCCCCAAAGTTTTTGCGACTTGTTGAGAGCTGTGGTTCCAACAGGAAAGGCACAATTCTCAACAGCTGGATTGCCTGCAGCAGGAGAGGTGGGCAATCTGCTGGACATCAGTACGATGCCAGATGCCACACTCCACATTAAACATTTGGTTGGTACTAATGTAATTTTTAACAATTTGTATGATTTTAATTGCCGGACAATATCAATAGGCGCTGGAGCATGTCGCAAAGCTGCATCGCAATGAAACCATTTGGATAACGTTACAGAAAATGAATCAATCCATCCCTCTGTTGCGCTGCGAATACAAGAAGGTCGAGATCACGTAAAGTTTTTCGGTACTTCGCACGTTTCTTTCCAGACACAATAATGCAGTGCCTGAGCAGTTCGATTTGTTTTGAAACGTTTAACTGTTTGCGAAAGTGCTAGGTCGAAACACTTTCCTTTCATCTCTGGGACCTGGTTTCAATCTAGATCAAAATGGGCTGAAAGTCTCTCTTGGGATTCAATGTGAATTAAGTTCCGAACTGTATCAACCCAGATTCAAAGAACACACGTTCGCAGAACGATTGTCCATACTTTCACTGCGCCACAAATTACTACTAACATTGCAAAACCAACTCACTCAGAGATCCTCAGGACGGTTCGTGCCTGAAAGAGGTAAAGTTTCGCTGGGGAGGGAGCTTTCCTTTGCTTTGCATTCAACTTATTACATACAGCAAACAGGGGAAGTATCCCGTTCTTTCACCTCCGAGCACAATAAGTAATCTGGGGCTTTTGCCCTAGAAACTGTACACACGGGGGCAAGATTTTGTTCCCCTTTTAAACAGCCAATGGGTTTTTCCAAATATTTAACAAAAGGTGGCAGGGAATTGGGATTAGATTTGATAGCGCCAGTGGGGAGTTGGCTCAGTGAGCTGAATGGCCTCTTTTAATGTCTTTCGGGCTATCATTTCTGTGACAAGCTTCAACCAGGATAAATCGAAATGGTTGGGTTGCTTTTTTACAAGCTTTAGCTGGGTACCCACACGACCATTTGAAGGGGCCGTGCTATCATTTTGAGAAGTTTATTTCTGATCCTAGGAAAAGCAAACCTGCGCTAAAAGGCCACCTCGAATGCTGCTGGGCAAACATTTTGGAAAATGGATTATAATAATAATAAACCTTGCATTTGGTATTACGCCTTGTCACATCTTTAAGATGTCTCAAAGCGCGTTACAGGATATACTGTCAAGTAAATTGACTGTATATATGTTGTGGGCGAAATGCAGGAGCCAATTAGCTCGGCTATCTACATGGAAATAGTCTCTCTATTCATCTGAATGAACGGAGTTGCTCTGTGGCTGTCCAGCTTCACAGCTAGACTGATGGACAACTAACATTATGTCCCAGGTGTATTTTGTGCATCCTGTGTGTGTGTGTGTGTGTGTGTGAATCGGTCTTAATTCCCAAAACAAAACAGGACGCTAGGATTACGATCTGCTTGAAAACCGAGTCAATAAAGTCAATGAAAGCTCAGTCAATAAAGCTGGTGCGAGGGAGATTGGCATGGCTGTGAGATTATTACTCAGTCAACTTTTATATCAGAAGTGAGCCCACGGTAACCCTTTCCTGCGGTGATTTTGTGTGGCACGTTTTCAGGAACTTCAGAAAGCTCAGCGTAATACACAGAAAGAATTGCAGTCTTTTCTCTGAGGGGCAACACAAGAAGAGAACTTGCGGCCGGAGGCACTACAATTTCTTCCTGAAACACATCATATTGGAATATATGTTCCAATTAAAATAAACAGCCAGCTATGGGATGAAATTACTAGCATAAGCACATCAAAGATTCAATTAGCTCGGTTTCTTTTTGTGCCAAGTTCCTTGCCTCCGTCGAGTTTCTGATCCATTCTATGTATGATTTCTTGTAACGGGATTCTTCACTCAGTGCAGCTGTTGTACGAACTTGATTCAAATGTAATTTTGTTGTTCTTGTTGATTCAAATGCTGTCAAACATTGCTCTTACTATATTCCTGATTCTGATCACTATAACAATTTTTTGAGGGGGGTGGTGGGGGGGAAACACATTTCCTTTCCTCCAGATACTAACTTGCTTGGTGTACAGTTTGCTGTCATCTCTGTCATCTCAAAGAATTAATTGTTAATGTGACAACAGCCGGTTGGTATTGGCAGGTTAAGACTGTCCTGCCATAGAGCTATCACACTATGCTTGAACCTGACCCCCTTTCTCCTCCTCACACCACATACATTCAACCGCAGGAACTCTAGAATATTAATAATAATAATCCTTGCATTTGACACGGCGCCTTAGCACGTTATGCAGACGTCTCAAAGCGCTTCACGGAATACACTGTGAAGTGGATCGATCGTAAATCTTGTGGGCGAAACGCGGCAGCCGATTGCGCACAGCAGCGTCCGTCCCCACAAACAGCCGTGGATTGAGTGACCAAATTCCGTAAACTCAAGGTTGTTGCAATCAACTTGCCAACGTATTTATTTCCGAATAAAGCACAGACTGGCTGGGAGCAGAGCACAACTGACTAGCCAGGAACCAATATAATTGGGTCCTGTTGTCAATATAAATTGTGAAGACTGGAGCAGTGCCAGAACTTGCACTCTAGGCTTTAAGGAAATATCTCAAATATAATTCAAATGTCTGGCTTTTAAAATCAATGTCAGACCCATGTCTGTCTTGCAACATGGGAGGATTAATTGAGCTGTTATAGGGTTTGCAATGAAGTTTCATCAATAGCTAAATAATTCTTGGACTCAAAGCAGGATTTCTATTCCATTCCTTAGTTTGTGAATTAAGGAACAGCAATCCAATCATGCCTGGACGCACAACTTTGTTGTTTGCAAAACACGAAATAAATCTTTCCGATGTGCAATTGGCTTTAATGGTTATTAAAACCCGGGGAAAAAATGAATTTAAACAGCACTGCCGTAGACACAGAAATGAGATTGAAATATTGGCGACTTCAAAAGAAATAATACTTCACGGTTTTCACATGTTTTCCCAGCTTAATGGGTAACATGCAAAGGCTTTTATGGAGTTTCTGATAACATTCCAGTCTCCTTGCAATGAAGAACATGTCAATCAGATGATACGTGTTACTATGTGTAGAACTCGGCCATTTATACAGCCCACTGGCAGAGTGTTAGGTTGCAAAGCAAATGGTTGTGTACATAACAGCTGCCAGGCTTGTCAAGCTTTTGGAGTTCCAAAGCTCACAGCAATCTGTCCTCACTATAAATAATTCCTTGCGACGAGTGCCAGAACCGGCGATAGAATGGCTGTTTGTGTCGTGTGACTGGCAAGGAACAGACTGCGACTAATTTGCTGCTACTTGTGTGTCGCCTACTGGGTATCCGAGGAATCCTGGTATGTTCCCAACTGTTCACAATCGCCCAGCTGGATATTGTTTTTCATTTCTTATCGTCAATTTTCTCCCTTCAAATCAGAATAAAAAAGACTTTTTGCCTTCAGCGTGGACAAAGTGACGATCGGCAGATTATACAGATACAAGGAGCAATGCAGCCGAGCCCTTTACTGTCTACACAAGGGATCTCTGGAAGCTATTAGGAATTGAAACCCACCTGAAAAAATAATTCCTCCCTTATTCACCCTGGTGCAACCCCTTGTGATAATAATTTGGTTACTCAATCCATGACTGTTTGTGGGACAGTGCTGTGCGCAGTTGGCTGCCGCGTTTCACCCACAAAATATACAGTCAATTATTATTATTATTATATGGTTGTAGCTTTTCACGCTTGCACTTGTACCTTTGTAGCTGGGGGGGGGTTGGGGGGTGGGGGTTTATTTTTATTTCTGAATTGTGATGCAATGTGTTAACAAACTGCTCGTTCATGTCTGGGCCCAAATAGAACTCAAACTGACGGGGCAACAGCAACAAATTACATTTTACACAGTGTTTTCACATCAGGAAGACGTCCCAAAGTGCTGGACAGACAGGGATTTGGATCCAAGCTGGAGGTTGGGTTCAGGAAGGGTGGAGGGCAGGGAGGGCCGGGGTGGGAGGATGGCCGAAGGCGCGTTTGAAGAAGAGGGTCTTGAGACATGCCTTGAAGGAGGCGAGGGAGGGAGGGAGCAAGGCGAAGGGACTTAAAATTCCAGCAACAACGTAAAACTCCAGTCTGATTAGAGTCAAAGTGGTTTCTCAAGACCTAAATCATAAAAGCAAAGCTCCAGCTGCTGGCAGAAATACATAGAGCTAAAATGTATTTCACCTTTGGATGTCAAGTATATATACACAGAGAAAATAGGAGGAGGTCTATTCTGTGCTATTTGACAACGTTAATGCAGGTTCAAAGGCATCCTGTGAGCTCAGTGTGTGGCCTCTACATTAGCCCAGTCTGCTTGCCAAGGGATGTGGAGATAATATTATTTGATACCCGCTGTTTTCCAATCCAAAAGGTGTTTCGGTAACCTTTAGAGGTTTTCTTTGAATAAAAAGCTCTGCCTGCAGCGTAACAGTTGGGTTGGATAAATAAATGATAAATCATCTGAAAACACGCTCATCTGAGTCCTGAAATACCCTTGAATGTAATGGGAGGGTTGCGATATATCTCATTTATCTCACTTACCACCGTTGGTAACACTCAGGCTCCTGAATCGTGAACCCAGAAAACTGTGAAAATATCTGAATCTCCTTCTCTCACTTGAAACAAGTCTGAATAATCAGCAGTGTTTTGAACAAGCCCAAAAGTTACTGCATATTGAATGCCAGCCCTTAAAAGTTCTGGGAAAAGGAGGTCATGTCTGAATGTCACCTCTTTAAATGGATGGCAAATTGAAATCTTTACACAAACCCATTAGTGGTGAAATTACCCCCATTAGAATCATAGAATTATACAGCACAGAAGGAGCCATTCGGCCCATCATGTCTGTGCCGGCTCTTTTAAAAGAGATTTTCCAAATCCATCCCACTGCCCTGCTCTCTCCTCATAGCCCTGCAAACTTGGCCTCCCCAAATAATTATCTAATTATAGATAATAATTATCTATAATTACGAGGATCTGAAAATTAGAGGGAAACGAAGAGTTCTAACGGTTCAGGAAATGAAACCCCTGGATAAACTGTCAGCGATTGGGCAATGTGCTTCTGAGAAACCGCATGCGGTGTAAGAAACGGAAAATATTATCCAATAAGGAGTGTCTCCTGAGGCGAAGCACAAGGAGAATTTTTGAAGCACTGCATCAAATCCGTCCAATTCTTGACCAGAGAGTGCTTGAGGCTAGCTGGGTGGAGGAGGTAGGTAGACCTTTTTTCTCTTTGACCGTGCCTTCAGCTCCCCTCTCGACTCTCTACCTCTCTACCCCCTCCTCTCTCCCTCCCTTCCCTCCCCTCACCCTGACCATTTCCCCCCTGCTCGGGTCCTGACCCAACTGTCCAGCGCCTTGGGACATCCTCCCGACATGAAAGGCGCTCTATAAATGAAATCTTGTTGTTGTTGTTGTTGTTGTAGATCTTAATCTATGTGACCGCAGAGCCACTTTTAAGAACGTAAGAATTTACTCGGCGAAAGAAGACCAAGGTCCATCCAGTTTGCCTTCCGCCATGCTGGCCGTTGCATGTACACGTCGTGTCCCACAGTATCTACTGTGTCCTGAGATATTAATTCCTAACAGAAAGCACTTTGCTCCTTTTCAGATATGCTCTTTGGCTCAGACTGTTTAGTAACTTTCTAGCAGGAAAAAAATTGCCGCAGCCAACGTCAGAAGCTCAAGAAACCGAAGTCAGGTCACCGAACACGGACTCGGAGATTCGGGCCAATCCAAACCTGTTTCAAGCTTGAAACGTGCAGAAAAGAATTGCGTTAGGAACGAGGTCATCTTTACATTTGAAAGCATTCGCAAATCTTGCAAGGCTTTAAGGAATCCCGCGTGTGTTTTAAAGCTGCAAGAAAAAAACAGTTCCAGTTTTTTTTCATCAGGGCAAGGTGGCTGCTTTTAAGAATAAATAGTTATTCCTGCAACATTCGGAATTCTAACGCATTACCATCCATCACTGGGGAAGGCTGCCAAGGTAAACAGTGTCTGAATGGCACGCACAGTCCCACACACTCTCAGCAAACCACAAGGTCAATCTCTCCACGCTCACTCACCGATCATTGCCGAGGCTATTCGTTGCTGAGGGTCATACGGACACTTCCCCTTGCCACATTCAGTCTGTTCCTGATGTAGCACCAGCTGTTCGTCCTAGAGAAAGGAGGGAGAGAGGGATTAGCAGAAAAAGAAACACACAATGTCAAGCTCAATGACTTCAACTATGATCAAAGTAGCCACGCAAGAAAATGGGGCTCTCAATATCCTATTCAGAATGATAGCAGCTGCCAGATACATATAGAGTACAATATCCACGCCTCTTTGTAAAGAAAAATGGAGCAAAGTTGCTGACGGGGCTTTGTAAACTGATCACTTTATTGTTGGATGCATTGGAAAATCTGAATCTCCAATGAGTTGCACTGCTGTCTGAGACAGTGCGATGCAAGACTCTGTTCAGCAGTATTGACCGAAAATGTTTGAGGAGAATTTTATTAAAGGAAAATTAGCGTCCTGACATTGGGGCTGCAGCAATTTTTTTTTTCTGCTAGTAAGTTACTAAACAGACTGAGCCAAAGAGCACATCAGACTTTTATAAAAATAATAATAATCCTTGCATCTGATCACGTCTTCCAGGCGTCTCAAAGCGCTTCGCAGAATATACCGTAAAGCGATTTGACTGTATGTTTTTGTGGGCGAAACGCAGCCGCCCATTGCGCACAGCAGCGTCCTCACAAACGGCCGTGGATTGAATGACCAAATTGTTGTTATTATTTAGGTGGGAGAACGACGCGAAGACTCAGGTGTAAAATTCTATCAAAAAAAAACATTTGTTGGGACTAGATTGGCGGATGTCTTTTCCTCCTCATCGAGGTATCATTGATAACGGCACTTTTGCGTAAGTATGACCAGATGAAACGATTCCTGTCTACTCGCTGACTGACCAGACCAAGGCTGCAGTTCACCCCCTTGGAAAACTTGAGTTCTTAGGAACGCAAAATTCCGGACGTTGTCCCTGGATTTCATTGCTATTCATCATCCTTAATTACTATGCAAAATGTGGCGCTCAGGAGTCAACAGGTTTAGGATCAAACTGAAGTTGTTGGATATTAGTAGCAGATGATTCTTTGCGTGCTGCTCGGTTGGTTCCATGTTGCTCTTACAGTTTCTTGTGAACTCCCGAGCCCAGATGTTTGGGAGGAAAGGGAGTCTTCAAATCGGAATTTAATAATACTTGGCAGTTTTCGTTTAGAATATTTTCCAAGTGTTACAACGGGGTTATTTCGAGGACATCAAGCGAAGAGGGGCAAGGGGGGCGTCTGTGAAATGGTTTTGACTGAATGGCCGTTTTCTGTGGATTTTAGTCTCCAGGTGCGGGTCATTCCACGCAGTTGCTTCATATCTATACTTTGTGATGAGGTTTTTCTTTGGGATTTAAAATATAATAATAATAATAATCCTTGCATTTGATACAGCGCCTTATCGGGTCTTCCAGACTTCTCAAAGCGCTTTGCGGAATATACCGTAAAGTGCAGTGACTGTGTATTTTGAGGGCGATACGCGGCAGCCAATTGCGCACAGCAGCGTCCCACAAACAGTCACAGATTGAGTGACTAAATTCTTCTTTTAAATTTTTTTTATTTATATTGGAGGGCATATTACCTCCGGAAAAGCGATCTGCCAATCGACCAACAACCGGGTTCTTACTTATAATAATAATAATCCTTGCATTTGATATAGCGCTTTTCACGTCTTCGAGACGCCTCAAAGCGCTTCACAGAATAGACTGTAAAGTGAATTGACTGCATATTTGTGGGCAAAACACGGCAGCCGATTGCGCACAGCAGCGTCCCCACAAACAGTCAGATTGAAGTGACCAATTTTATTTATTTTTTCCTTGAGGGATTATTATCAGGCGCGTGGAGAAACTCGCCCAAGGTTCCGCCCTGCCGGGAACCGAACCCAGAGGTCCCTCGCTTGCAAGGCGAGCGCTCTAACCCCTGAGCTCCAGGACTCCACGGGTTAAGTCAATCGCAATCACAATCCACTGAGTGCCCTGTTAATCACTAAATAAATAAATACATCATTGGCCACTTTCACTGGAGAGTGAGAAGATGCCAGAAAATCTCTGAGCAGTGCCTTCTGCAAAAGATAGCATTGCTGCGGCGATTTTCTGTTCTTCAGCTGTTGAATAATGCTTTCTGCAGACACAATAGATTAGCACAGTATTTCTTTCATCTCTCTGAGACCTGCCTTTGAATCCAGTGCCTCCGGCTGGGAGGAAAGTCTCATCTTTCTTCCCTATTTCTCTCTCAGAGTCTCCTGTGAGTTTGATATAATATCATATCATAACTCTGCAAGAATCTGCTGCGAGTTTTGAAATAATAACTCGGTTCCAGCTGGATGCAGTTTCACCGCAGGGGATAAATTCTGTGCAGCTCCACGTCAAAGAAATAATTCAAAGGTACAACAACAACTTTCATTTATATCGCGCAGTTCACACGAGTTGTGTCTCATTGCGCTTGCAAAGTAATATACAAAAGGAATGGAATCGGAGGGGAAAAGTAGGATGTATTTTGTTAAAATACTCCTGTACTCCTTTTCTTATGGTGTCAACATTTCCACGGGAATGAAGTAAAAATCTTAATCGGTCCTCGTTAATGAGTGGGGTTCAGAATTTCCTATTAAAACTCCATCTTTTCACAGTCTTAACATCAGTGCTAATATTCGAGTAGTTGACCTACATTAACAATTTACAGGCCGCTGTCTATCATGGCAGTTTTGCCCACAAATATACAGTCAATTCACATTACAGGATATTCTGTGAAGCGCTTTGAAACGTCTCGAAGACGTGATAAGGCGCTGTATCAAATGTAAGATTACTACTATTACTGAGCGGCAGTGAAGACATGGGTCCTGTTTCTTTAAGTCAAACACTCTTATTTCAGCTTTTGCTTCTTTCAGTCTTAAATAACTGTCTCTTGCCATGTCTGTGTAGCGGTAACTTATCAGATTTGTTTTCAATTTAGCACAGAACTGAGGGTTTTTTTTTGCTGGGGGAATTTTTTTAATATAGAAGTGCAGATAAAAAAAAAGCCCATCCAGCTCGAATGATGAAATCCTTTCTGCAGTGCAGTGGATATGATATTCTTTCCTCTCTTTCCCCTCCCCGTGTGGGGAAAATGGAGGTTGGGGCCAGAGTAATAATACTGATCATTGAATTAGATATAGTGCCTTACCCACGTCTTCAAGACGTCTCAAAGCGCTTCAAAGTAAGCAGTTGTGTTTCTCGTGGTTTGGAACGCTGGACAGAGGAACCTGATTGTGTTTTCTTTCAATCATAGTTTTTTTGCTGCTATTCCCGGATGTCTGTCGGAGTTTGGCTTGGACTCGCCATAGAAGGTGATTGGAATTGGCATCCTTCCATTCTGGATACTCTCTTGCGTAAAACATAACCGAATAAGACCATGTATCTTTTCCCACTATTTTCCTCTCTCTGTGTGTGTTCAGAAAGTATCATTCCACCTAAGGTACGATTCCACAAACAGCTGTTAGTGTCTGGTACCTCACATAAGTACATCTTCATGGCCGAACCTACAGCATGAGAGTCGGCAAGTTATTTCACTGAGAGGTATGACAGCCGAAACAATAACAGCAACAACTTGCATTTATGCAGAGCCCTTCGCACCGGACGGTATCTCGGAGCACTTAAATGGATTCCATGCTCACTGAGGAGGCACTGGAGTAGTGATCGATCATGGGAACCCTGGATGGAGACCTGTAGCTCAGTGGTTAGAGTGCTCGCCTTGCAAGTGAGAGGACCTGGGTTCGATTCCCGGCCGGGCAGGGTGAAACGTTGGGCAAGTTTCCTTACTCCGCACACATCTGTTTACCCAGCAGTAAATAGGAACTCAGTTGTCAGTCAATTGGGGGATCGCTTTTCCGAGGGTAATAATTCCTTAAAAAAAATAATCGGTCACTCAATCCGCTACTGCTTGTGGGACATTGCTGTGTGCAATTAGCTGCCGTGTTTCTCCCACAAAATACGCAATCAATTCATTTTACAGTATATTTATTCTGTGAAGCACTTGATGGATTATTATTATACATTGCCAAAAGCTAACGGAACACATGATCACTGCTGGACATGAAGTCAACTCAGTTTACGGAACAAAATATGTCCTTGTTCTATGGAGTGCTCGTCGCATTAATATTATTTTTGTGAATTAATAACCTAACGAGCTGCATTATTTTGAAAAAAAAACTGCTTTTGATTAGACAGCAAATTGAAATCATATTAAAATGGAAGCATTAGCATTCCTGATTGACCATGCCAGATGTTACAGATAATGTGTAGAATGAATTCTTTTCTAATCTGCTGTCTCGGCCGGCAAAGGCAAAGTACGAACTTTGTTATTGATGGACTCTCTGAACAGCCTCAGGACAACACTTTCTCAACTGGATTCCCGGGAGAGATGTAGAATGTGTTACAAATGACCAAGTTTGGCATTAATTGCCAATTTGGCACAGCCAAAACACAACCCTTTCTAAGCAAGTTATTAAATTGCCTCGGTCCATATGCCTGTCTCTTTATCATTAGTATATACGGATATACACCTACTGCGTTTCTACTGAAAAGGAGAGGAAGTAACATGTTAGGTTTCTTTGGCGTTGGCTGTGTTTTGTACACTGAAATGTACCTGTTAACTGCCACCGATTACATAATCGCTCCCTCACAATAATAATAACAATCCTTGGGTTTTGATATATACAGCGCCTTATCACGTCTTCGAGACGTCTCAAAGCGCTTCACAGGATACACTGTAAAGTGAATTGACTGTATATTTTGTGGGCGAAATACAGCAGCCAATTGCGCACAGCAGTGTCCCCACAAACAGTCGTGGCCTCAATTTTACAAAAAAACTTTATAAATTGGATCCAGATCCACCCGAGAGCTCTCTGAATCCAGACACTTGGCCAGTCCTCACCCACGATCTTCTGAGCAACAGCAAAGAGTCTGTCAGTTCAGTAAAAAATCCTGCTTGGATACTTTTGCAGTCTTGCTTTTCCACTGAACGATTTCTAGCATGCTGACGGGTTTCAAACCCTTCGGTCTGGTAGTAATGAACTCCAGACCCTCCCTGGCTTGACAAGCTGTCAGTTCCTAAGGGATCTACAGGTGGATTAGAATTTCAGATCAACCTGACACTAGGAGCATTAGGAGGAAACCAACACATATGACATATGACCCCAGTTGCACGGGATGCAAAGCAAGACACAACCACTAAGAGCCAGTACGCACAGACGCAAGCTTAATTCAATATCCTTCTTGTTACAAAGTTTTATCTCTTTGCCAGGAACATTCCTCAGATTCCCAGGGCGCTTTATCTAGCTCCATCAAGTTGTAATCCTTGGATTTGATACAGCGCCTTATCACGTCTTCGAGACGTCTCAAAGCGCTTCACAGGATATACTGTTAAGTGAATTGACTGTATTTTGTGGGCGAAACGCAGCAGCACAATTACGCACAGCAGCGTCCCCACAAACAGCCGTGGATTGAAGTGACCGATTTATTATTTTTTTAAAAAATTAAAGTTGAAAGGCTTGGATTCGATTTGCAGTAGGTTATTTATTAACCTAGTCCAGTGCCTTGCAGACGCTTGCTGTTCCAGACATGTTGCGTGCTAGACTAGGTTTGATACGTTATGTGTCTGACCCATTATGTATAATATTGGATTCCAAAGTAAATACTGTGCCTGTCTAATTACCCTGTTCCTAGTCTTACTTTTATGTTTCTAGTTCTCTGGACCTGTACCAACTCAGCCTTAACTTCTGTGTAGATCCAGCCTTCTGATGTTGACCTGTGTGGGGATTTGGGCCTTTTCTGTTTCTGCAGGAAGGAGATATATGTCTAATTGCAGTATTCAGTTGTAATGAATAGCAGTGCTGCTCTATTAGGCTTTGTGGAGTCCTGTAGCTCAGTGGTTAGAGCACTCGCCTTTGCAAGCGAGAGGACCTGGGTTCGATTCCCAGCCGGGCAGGACGAAACACTGGGCAAGTATCCTCACTCCACGCGCCCATTTACTCAGCAGTAAGTTATTCGATTGGTGGATCGCTTTTCCGGGGGTAATAATTCCTTCAAAATAATGATTTGGTCACTCAATCCACGGCTGTTTGTGGGGACGCTGCTGTGCGCAATTGTGCTGCTGCGTTTCACCCACAAAATATATAGTCAATTCACTGTATAGTATATTCTATGAAGCACTTTGTGACGTCTCGAAGTCGTGATAAGGCGACATATCAAATGCAAGGATTATTATTATCGCTATAAAACATTATCGTACCTGCTATATTCTGATATAAAAGATAACTGGCAGGAACAAGGGTCTCGCAGACTTAACAAAATCATTGCATTAATTTGAAATAACAGAAACAATTGCTATCTGAGGCTCCATTCACAACAAACTGTGGACAAGACTATTTTTGTTACTGTCATGTAACAACAATCTCAAAGGACAAACAGCTCCGGAATTGAATAAGGCCCAAAAGACGATTGTTTCTGTCAAGTTGATTATCCTCATGAATTGAACTGAAATAAGGTTGAGGTTCAACGGATGAAGAGCGAACACGTTTGAATGAGTGCCTTTCATCCATTGTGTTCAGAGAACGAGATTGCAGGTGCAAATTGTGTCTTCTGAAAGCAACAAAACAGCAGACACACACTATGAGAGTGAGGTCTGAACAGAGAGGAGAGAGCGTGAGAGTGAGAGAGATCCAGAGAGAGAGAGAGAGAGAGAAAAGAAAGTCTTTGCTTTTAAGCATGGACAACTTGCTGAAATCATTGCAATCTGTTTAACAATTCAATGCCTGGAACGCTTACAGTCAGATCCTCTGAAAACATCCATGTGAAACCACATGATTAAAACCAGAAAAGGTGTATCCTTGCTTCATCCCAGAGCTTGGGTTGGTGCTGAGCTGAAAAGGCTCTCTTGTGAGCCAAAATTTTTGATGGCCAAAATATTTAGATGACTATTGTTTTCAGTGCCAGTAAAGCTTTACTCTGAGTGATTTTAGTCGAGAGTCTATCCAGGAAAGTACAAGTCGAGTGTCCCAATGGTACTGTGCAATGAATGAACGAATGAATGAATGAATGAAAGGTCTGTGATCAAGTGTATTTCTTCAATTAGACCAACCATGGTTACAAGCAATCTTTGTTCACCTAATTAACCCTTCAAGAACAATACCCAGAGTGATCACAAACAGGATACGTAATGGTCGATGTTTATACACACATGTACACACACAGAATAATGCAGTCTGTGTGTGTTAGTGTAGAACACCGAGTTAATCAAGGCATTGAGCTGAGGGAATATTCAACGAAAGTGAAACGTTTGCTGCATTAACATTCACTGAATCCCATGAAACAAAGCTATTTCCAACAGTCCTGGGTAGGGTGGGGGTGTGGGGGGTGTGGAGCTGACCAGAGCCTGCTGAGCGGAAGGAGCGGACCGGTTGATATGACGTTAGCAGGTCACAGAGGGAGGAAGGCAATAATAAGATGCATTACTGGATTGGAAGGTATGCTAGCCGTACAGATGCCCTTCCGTTCAGTCTGCAGGATGCATTGCTGCTTGCACTTGTGATAGACAAGCCAGTAGATATACCGCTGGTGGGACCTTATGCACTTACCCTGCTGAAAATGGAAGTGTCGATGTACGCACAGCGTGGGTGAAAAGCTCCTGTCCCACACACGTACAGATGAGTTTGGTTGTAAAAGTGAAGGACCCGCAGGAAGTTGGCACAATCGAGCTGCAGAAGACACAGATAACTTTATTACTCTGGGCTTTATATCATACCAAATCTCTCACACTGTATGGAAACTTCACTGTATGGAAACTGTATGGAACCCTTGATGCAGCTGCCTTCAATCCCAAAGCCATTCCCAATAAAGGCCTTTCAAACCTTCCCGACACTGTGCATACATTGATCAATCCAACCACTGCTATGATAACCTCTCTTTTTCATTACTTGGAAACCAGGGTTTAATCCAGCTCAGATTCTTAACCCATCTGAAATATGTTTGGGGAATTTCAGTGGTGGTAGTAAATGTGAAATGCCCAATTTGGGATTGAAGCACATTATTTTGAAAAACTAGATAAAGCTGTATATTATTTCTGACGTGAGCTGGGAGTATTTGGTGTTGAAACTGGTCGCTTGAGATGGAGAGAGTATTTGATTTTGTCCCAAAAGAATAATAGTAATTTAATCGGAAAGTGTTCAATCACCATGCTGGTCCAAAGCGGTCATTAGTTTCCATTAAATGACAGGTTTCAACAGAAGATACTTACATTGAGGTTTTTTCCAGCCATTTTGCACTGCTCTATCCTCTCCGAAAGAGCCGGCCAATAGAGCTGAAAAAAAAAAACATATTTATTTGCTCAGATAAATATTCCTTCAGAGATTCACCGTTAACTGTTAATTATGTCACGATCTTCTTGATAGTCTTTCTGTTTATGCCCGACAAATACTACATTATTTAGCACATTATGCTATTCAGGGAGTAGGAAGTAGTTGAACCAGTAGGCAAAAGAAACCAGGTTATATATATTATATATATATATAATAATAATTTAGTTCTCAATTCATGACTTTGTGAGACACTGCTGTGCGCAATTGGCTGCTGTGTTTCGCTCACAGTCAATTCACTTTACATTATATTCTGTGAAGCGCTTTGAGACGTCTTGAAGACGGGTCGAGACGCTATATTCAATGCAAGGATTATCATTAATATTATTATACGCAGCCCATGTGAGCTCATACAGTTGTTCACTCCCATTGAGTGTGCCAGGTTTTTCATCATGTTTCCTCCTCGCACAGTACTCACTGTAATTGGATTCCTTTAATGTACCAGAGATGTTTTACTTGTATGCTAACCTTTCATTATTTGCTCAACCTTCACAGCAGACACTCATCCTGTTTTCTAATTATTATTATTATTATTTGGTTTCCTCTTCAGGTTACCGAAATGCTGGGGAAACTTTGACTGACTCATCTAATTCAGCACAGACCAGGGAGAAAACACAGGTACTTTCTGATCTTAATGACTCGCAATGACAAGATGTGCTCCATTGAATATTCTATTGTATTTAGTGGGAGAACAAGGATCCTGTGGGTTGGATACACATCAGTTAGTTATTACTTGCGTCTTATACAGCTGTCTCTCTGAATTCTATAAGTATTAATCACTATTGTAGCCAAGGCATATCCTCTATCAGTCATTTAGAAGCTATGGAGCATAATTTGCTCAGAGGAAGGCATTGAGGAATATCAGAGCTTACATTAGGCTACTGTTAATGATTCATTGCCAGGTTTCTGTGGGTTTTCTCATACTTTCTCCCAGCCTCCCACCCCTTTCTCCCAAACCCAGGTCCTCTCGCTTGCGAGGAGAACCTGCCAACCATTAAGCTACAGGACTCCATATACAAGAGGAAGACAATTTGAGAAATGTCTAGTTGCACTGAGATAATAGTTCCTTGCATGCGATTAATGCACATTTTCGATGAGACTGAACCGACTTGAACATCACCTGACCTGAGGACATAATTGTTGACTCATTAAAATGTCTTTCCCAGCAAACTATTGTCCCTTGTCTCATCGAGAACCACTGCATTCATAACTTCTCGACCAAAGCTAACCTTTAACCTATTTGAATGTTCCATCTCCTAAGTCATCAACAAACCATTTAGTCTACCCGCAGATGCCTTATTTTTTGCCCTGCTGCATTAATTTGCACTGACTGGAACCACAAAAAAGTACTCAGGTATTTAATCAGATGGCAACGGCTGAGATGGTGGAAGTGTTGATATCTGGAATGTTTGGTATGAGGCAGTCAGGTCATTAAACGACTGTTGAATTGCATGTTTTGGTACAGAGGCATCCTCCACGTATTTTGAGTTCGGTGTTAATATCAACAGCCCTCATCACATTACTTCTTAACTCTTCGCACCACTGCCATCTCCCTCTGGGCAAACTGCTCGCCCGACATCAGATGTACACCCAAGGAGATCAAGTTGTTTTGGGATTGACATAGAATTGCACGTCTCAATCCTTCCAGACTACCACCACTGAGACCACTGATGGTCTCATAAACCTGTTGAGAGATCATTGCTACTGTTGTGATGATCTGAAGGGGGAAACATGTTTCCGTGGAACATTTTCTCAATTGAAAGCGTGATATAATAAATCCCACATTTTTAGCATGAGTCTCATTGAAGTTGATCTTGTGCCAATAATAATGATAATAATCCTCGCATTTGATGCAGCACCTTAACATGACTTCGAGACGTCTCAAAGCGCTTCACGGAATATATCGTGAAGTGTAGTGACTGGATATTTTGTGTGTCGATCACATGATGAGAATTCCTATTAGAAAGCTGCTATGAAACTACAGTACTGTGAATTTTAGGGATTCGGTGTAGAATCGACTCCATTGTGGGAGTTCTAGGATAACTCGAGATTGGAGTGAGTGCAGACAGGATGCAGGAAACTAAATTTAGATCGTAGGGACAGGGGAATAGTTCATTTGAATGTTAAACGTGCGAACACAAGGGATGTGTTGGCTTCTCCTTTACAATAACATTTTCAAACACAAATTATTAATAGAAACCATTGACCTCGCCTGGTAATACTGAGCTGAATGGGACGTGACCTTTCTCAGTGTAAGTCAACAGTCTCTAATTTGTCCCAATTATACCTAATGGTCCCGAATGCAAAAGCACAGACAAAATAGGATGTGCTTGATGGGGATAGTCAGAGCCACCAACCCCATGGGCCACCAACTTATAACTGCTCTATTTATCTGTAATTATGGTGCTTCTGATATGACTACGTGCTGAGTGTAATGTCCCTATGTCTGAATATCCTGTGTCATTGTGGCATCTCTATTGAAATACGTGAGGGGTAAGAAACAGCAAGTTGGCATTAGAGCAATGGGTTGTTCCATTTGGACGCTGTCTCACTCGAGGCCACTAGAATCCAAAACTTGGCTTGATCTAATAAGGTCCCATTGTGCCTGCTCCCAGCTCAATGATAATGTGAACTTTTCACTCAATTGTCCTGTATATTCCGAGCAAATATAATACAGAAAACTACAGGCTCCAGAACTGTACTTTAAAGAAACAGAAAGCTTTCGAGATTTCTTTGAAACGTTAGTTTTGGCGGTGTTCACGTTCACGAGGTTCCCCTGTAATGTTGGAGCGTGTGCACTGGCTGGACATGGGATAGTGTAGAGTCCTGTAGACCTGGGTTCGAGTTGGTCACTCAATCCACGGCTGTTTGTGGGGATGTTGCTGCCGCGTTTCGCCCACAAAATATACAGTCAATTCACTTTACAGTGTATCCTGTGAAGCGCTTTGAGGGGTCTCGAAGATGTGATAAGGCGCTGTATCGAATGCAAGGATTATTATTATCTATACATTACATATTTTAAGCTGAAAGTTCAACTGTGTATGTAAGGAGTTAGTTGCTTGCCTACAATTATTGTGAACTGAATACAACATGGCGTGAAGCTCTGAAGGAGACTGTCGTGTATCCACAGGCTTTATAACATAATTCCTGTAAAACAAACCCTTCCACTGACAAATGCTAATGATCTCAAAATGATGTGTTTTTAACCCCAGGAGTGTGGAGTTGGCTGAATTGGCTGTTTCCTGCCCAGTGATTAGTTTCTTCTAAGGCTGGGAAATGTCAATATTCTGACCTCGGCTCTTCTTATTAGCTACTGGACTGAGCTAGGCACAGTGGGCATTTCTCATTAAACCACTGTTTTGTTTGACTCAATTGGAATAATTTCCACTGATGGGGCCAGTCCAGGGGAGTCCCCGTAATTGAAAGTGTCAAACATCAGCAATTGTCATTTATTCTTTACTACCTTCCAAGTAAGGTCAATTCATGCATAGATTCCGGTTGTCACAGCACCAGCCAGTCTGTTGTATAGCAATCGAGCACCTATTCCTACCGTGCTATCATGTACGGTCACAGTAGGGTATTTGACCACAGAGGGCATCACAGTCAAACACGATTCAGCAAATGGTCCGCGGATTTGGTGCAGGAACCTTGGTTGTTATTTTTACTCCATAGCCTAGGGTGCTGAGCCAAAAATACCTTTTGAAGAAAAATAATAATAATTTTGGTCACTCAATCCACGGCTGTTTGTGGGGACGCTGCTGTACGCAATTGGCTGCCGCGTTTCGCCCACAAAACATACAGTCAATTCACTTTGCGGCATAATCTTCTGCGAAGAGCTTTGAGACATCTCGGAGATGTGATAAGGCCCTATATCAAATGTAAGGATTATTATTTTTATTATTATATCACTCACCCATACACAGTCAAACACTGGCTGGTCCACCTCAGAAATAAGATGCATGTGGAGCTTTCAGTACCCGTGGCGTGAATAATGGGATCAGCACGTACAGGGTCTCACCAACTGCTTTTCTTACCTTCTTCACTCCCTGTGAGATGTTGTCCAAGTTGCAGGTCAGAATGTAGTCCTTTGCACTTGCGTACAGTCTCCGCCCATCCTCGTCAAGGATCATGGAGTGCAAATTGGAAGCGTTGAAAGCAAGTGGGATGATCCGCTTGTTTAACACCAAGTCTAAGGTAAAAAAATAAGAGAATAAAGAGTATTATACCCCATACCCCAGTACAAGGCATTATCAAACTGCACGACGTAGTGGGTTAGCACAATGACCTTTCAGTTATGAATTTGGATTTACGTTCAGTTCATTTAGTTCTTAAACATACAAGGTGGATCGCGCGCAAACGAGAGATTTGACTCCCGGGTGGGTCAGGGCGAAACCTTAGACAAGTTTCCTTATTCCACACACACGCCTCTGTTAACCTAGAGGTGAGTAGGAACCCGGTTGTTAGGCGATTGGCAGATCGCTTTCACTCAATCCACGACTGTGTGGGACACTGCTGTGCGCAATTGGCAAAATCTTACTGTAACCGTGTATTCTGTGAAGCACTTTGAGATGTCTCAATGATGTGATAAGGCGCCATATGCAATGCAAGGATTAATAATATTATTATTACAAAATTGCAGTCTATGCCTTCTTCCTCCTTTCTTCTCCCGCGCTATATCAAATGCAAGGATTATTATTATTAACATTGCCATCAGCAGAAAATATATATAAGCCTTTTTAATGGCCAGTGATCAGAGTGAAAAACCTCATCACAACGCACTGAGTGTCAGGACTCAAGATGAGCAGAAAAACCAACCTATCTCGCCGGTCGAAGAACATGTCCCAATAATTCTTGCTTGATGTAGTTTCTTCAAGGTTTGAACCAGATATTTTGTCTAAGGAGGTTCAGAGGATCTTTCCCCACACACGCTATGCTCGCTCTCTGTTTCTTAACTCCTCTCCCTGCCCGGCGATCAATCGCCCCTCTTCCCCTCTCCCCCCACCAACCCCCTAACCCAGCCCGGCCTCAAGTCTTGAGTGTACCCCAGGAGGCATTTCCTTCGCTGCTCCACTAAGTGCTCAATTAAACCAGGGCCTTGTCACCATTCAGGAAGCACAGCCCTATCAATGCTGAGCCTACAATGCCAGTGTTCAGGGGTTAAGTTAACACACCGACACAAAGCTAAAACATCATTAAAACACTAGGAAATACTTATAGGCTGTGAACGCTTCCCGCTGCTCTACCTTAACTTGGCATTTTGAGACGGGAGCAAAAGAAATGCCCGAAGCAGCAGCAGATGCATGTAATGACCGTGAAATTGGTCCTAATGCCCAGTCAGGCCTGCATTGGGAGAACAGCTCTCCCACACAGATTGTGGCACTATAAAACACGGGGGACTCAGTTCAGTGCAATGCCGGAGTCCTGTAGCTTATGGCTTATTGGTTAGAGTACTCGCCTTGCAAGCGATTGGACCTGGGTTCGACTCCCAGCCGGGCAAGACGAAACGTTTGGCAAGTTTCCTAACTCCACACGCCCTTGAGATGTCTCGTGGACGTGATAAGGCGCTATATCAAATGCACGGATTATTATATATATTATATATTATTACATAACGCTGCTATACTTTTAGAGTAGGTCAGTTGGGCTTAGATACAACTATTAGAGAAGTAAAAATGAAGACCAGATACAACCGTTAAGAGTTTTTTCTGTCTCCCATCGAGAATTAATGTTACCATCTGGTCTTGTGCAAATGGAGGTGTGTCGGTTTGCTGTTTGATGTGATGAATCTATGTGTGTCAAGGTTTATCAGATTGTTTTTGAAACAGGTTTCTTGATTGATGTATGAGTGGCAAGAGGGCTCAGTTGTAGAGGAGTGTGCCAGCGTGCAGAGCTGCGGAGTAGCAAGATGCAGCTTTAATAACCTTGACCGAGAAAATCTTCCACTATTTATCCTCGTGATGTAATTCCAGAGCGCAGGCTGCGACTCACTTAAAGCTGACAAGAAAACAGTATCTCAGACCGGAAGGGCCCACACACACACACACGCAATCATTTGAACCTGTCTTCCTTAATGCCAAAATGTCCTGAAAGAAAGTCCACACTAATTCCAACGTGTCAGCAAGTCTAACTCTCTCTCTCTCTCTCTCTCTGTTTATTTACATACTACAGTTGAGTACCATAAGAGGTGAAACACCCTGAGGAGATCCCATCAGGCTCCGCAGGTTTACACTGTGTGAGCACCTGCCTTTCCTCAGACCACTGCTTACTCTCAGTTCCTTCGGGCATTCAGTCAGTCATGTCTGCGAGTTGTCTTTCTCTCCAAACACGGGTTGTTTAAACTAAACAGAACACAGCGCAGCGTAGAGAAAGCTAGGAGGAGGTACAAGAATCAGGCAGGCAGGCCCTTTACATATTCTTCCAGTTGAAGGATTTGTTTTCGATGCTGTTAGAGTGCTCCAGGGCTATTTATCTTGAATAAACTACCGTAAAATTACTAATTGCGAGCCTGTAAACTGGCTGAACTGTTGCTGAACTCTGTCATTTTGGGATTTTTGCCGTGAGGGTACATCGAAGGGTGCGGGAGAGAAGGGATTAGGGGGGATTTTGTTTAATTACAAGATGAGCTGGCTGTAACCATCTAGCTGGCTGTGTCTGGTGCATCAATCCCTAGATGGAGAGGGAATGTTTGACAAAATGTGTTTCCAGTATTGCTCCAAGTGCAGTGGAGAACAGCACTGACCCCATCAGTAAAGTTGCTCATGATTTGAACCATCACTTTATCTCACTGATCAAACTAAGGATAATGGTATAGATTTGGGAGAGAGGGGAATAGGATTACCACAAGGAACTCCATACAAGACCTTTCCAGAGGGGTTAAAAACACAGCTGAGATGATGAAGTTGCGGCATAAAACCTCCACCACTACCATCAAGCTGGTTCTCTGTAACTTAGAAGGCAATGTAGTGTTCGTTTTAATGATAATAATCCTTGCATTTGATACAGCACCTTATCACGTCTTCGAGGCGTCTCAAAGCGCTTCACAGAATATACTGTAAAGTGAATTGACTGTATGTTTTGTGGGTGAAACGCAGCAGCCAATTGCACACAGCAGCGTCCCCACAAACAGCCGAGGATTGAGTGACCAATTTGGTATTATTAACATTATTATTTTGAAGGAATTACTACCCTGGGTGTTCCTATCAAACGCCAAGTGTACAGGCTGACCAGAAAGTCTTATTTGATAGCTGTCCTTTTGTCTTGAGACAAATCATAATTTCTTCAAGACTTATTAGACATTATAATGGTACCATGACTTTTTGGTCACCCTGTATATTGCAATCTGATGCCCCTTTTGGGTAGGACATCTCTGAGTCAGGTGCCGTTGGGTTGGAAGCAAATGAGACCAATTCAATTCCATCTGGGCAGCAGCAACAGTGAGCTCATGACTGGAATTAGTCATAGGTTTATTGGTACAAAGGATTCGTAAGAACAAAGATGAATGGAGGCATTCTGAGAAATCATGGGGCGGGCAGGTCAGTTTCCCAGAACAGCCGTATATCCTGGAAGAGGGATAAACTGTATCATTCAGTCTTTTTGGCTCCCGCCTACCCCTTCTCTCCCCCACCTTGTCAGACTCCGCCACCGTGAAGCACTTCGGGACTCTACCCCATGTGAAGACCACTATATAAATGCAACTTATTGTCGCTGTTGTTTATTCATGGATACAGTGAGGCCAATTCAGCTGAATTGTTTACGGAGCACTCCATTAATATGTTAAATTAAATGTTTGGGGTGAGTGATGTCAGCATTGGGGAATGGAACATGCTGATACACTCCGTCTCATCACCAAAGATCCCCCCCCCCCCCCCCGGTTGAAAATGTTTACCAGCAGTAAGTAGGAGCCCGGTTGTTAGTCGATTGGCGGGTCGCTTTCTGGAGGTAACAATCCCTTCAAAAAAAAATTATAATAATAAATTTATCACTCAATCCACGACTGTTTGTGGGGACGCTGCTGTGCGCAATTGGCTGCCACATTTCGCCCACAAAATATACAGACACTTCACTTTACAGGACATTGTGTGAAGCGCTTTGAGACGTCTCGAAGACGTGTGAGGCGCTGTATCAAATGCGAAGATTATTATTATTATAGTTACCAACATTATTTATGTATGTCTACAACTAGGTAGGAATCTCTGATATGCAATTCCTACGGCAATAATTACTTACACGTACATTCCAGGGGCATTCTGCAGACTTTATAGCGTACTGTACTAGGTTTTTAAGTAAGTTCTGCGAAAAGCTGGGTTGACTGATCTTCTTGGGATTCCACTCGGTTTCAGCACGAGAGGAAGGGGACAAAAAGGAATTAAATGAACTTCCAACGAGATTCAACTCCTCATATGGAAGCTATTTGACAAACCACTGCAGAAAAAACTTCCTCTTAACACTTCCTGGTCAAGGCTAAATGAGTCTCCTTCGTATTAATGCTCAGAGGTGAAAGTGATTTTCTTTTACTAAACCTTCCCCTTTAGATTGGAAATCGGTCTCACCAGTTAAAGCTTGTCACACAGTGACTGATCGCTGTAGGAAGGAAAGTGACACCATTGAACTTCAGGGGAATAAAGAAGCAAAGTGTGAAGAAGCTAACATGTTGAGCCAGCCTAACACCTCCCTCAACTTTCTCCACCAAGATGATTTGTGAGTTGGAAATGATCGACTGTGTCTTTTTTTGTGGGCGAAACGCAGCAGTTGTTCGCAATTGGCTGCCTAGTTTCGCCCCCGAAATACACAGTAAAATGCGCTTTCTGTGAAGCGCTTTGAGACATCTCAGCACCGCGATAAGGTCCTGTATCAAATGCAAGGATTATTGTTATTATTATTATTCATTTCTGATGCCAAAGATGAATGTCTGGAATGTTTCTGGATCCTCCGTTCATCAAGCGTTAGTAAAGCCATGGTTTGATTTTATTTACACGCTGGGTCTCTGTCCAGTATTGATAATCTTTGTCGCCACGAGGCTTTCCAGGCTGATGTTGATGGACAGTCCTTTCCTGAGGACTTTCCTGAACATGAGCAACATTGGAACCATTTTCTTTTATTACCCCCGGGAAAGTGATCCGCCAATCGACTCACAACCGGGTTCCTGCTTACTGCTGGGTAAACAGAGGCGTGTGTTACAGAGTAAGGAAA